AGGGAAAGCGGGCAGACCCAGGTGCCAACACACCCTTGGGACAACGAGAAAGGAGTGCGAGAGAGAGCCATTCCTATCAGAAGGGTGGCCCTTGTACTTCCGGGGAGAGTTCGTTTCTCTCCTGCACTGGGGATTGCAGTAGTGTGAGGTGTGGGCCCCAGCAGAGACAGCCTATGAGTTCTGAGAGAAGGGAACGAGGCCCATTCCAGGGACAGTCAGCTGCCATCGCTGTGGGCTGCTTTGTCACAGGCCCGGGATTCACTCAGTGCAGGCTCCCTGGCCATGTGAAGGGTTTCTGGAAGTCAGGGCATTTTCCATTATGTCAGCAAATGCCACAATTACTCTCCCCTGCCGCCCTCCCCTCCTTGCCACTTATTTTTAATGATTTGAGCTCACCGGTCAGCATGGTTTGACCAGTGTCGCTCACACTTGAGACTGTCATTGAGCCACTTCATTTCAGGTTTACAGAGAACTCAGATCTCCTTCCCATAAAGAAGCACACGTCACGTTCTTGGGCTCCAGAGTCCCCTGTAGGTCGCAGACAGCAAGTAGCTTCAGGGGGCCGTTTTATCTTCAGGCCCTAGAACCCCTGTTGCACAGTTCCTGGCTTTAGTAGAAAAGATGTGTCAGGACTTGGAAGTCACACCCAACTCCCCCGGACTTGCACTCCACGATTGTATTCTGCCTTCCTGAACTAGTACCCCACCCCTTCCCGGCCATTAGTGGAAAATTCAGTTGTGGGAAGCAAAGAACTTGAACTTCCTGGAATCCGTAATGATTTTTCAACCCTGTGACCCCAGAATACAGCCCGTGGTTGTGACTGGAGTCCCTTTGAGCTCAAAATCCTCAGGGATGACCTTGGTTTGGGACCTGGACTGAGGGAGCCAGGGATCTGGCTACCACGTTTGCTTTGGATCACATGGACTTGAGTCATTTTTGTTATTTGGGGTGGAAAATTGAAATGATCAAGTTTTTTTCTTTGTCACCTAGAAAAGCAAATATTGTGCTTTCGTAATACATGCCTTTCAGCAAAATTGCAGATGGTCACTCATCGGGTAGAGACCCACCTGAGTCACTGTGCTGACTCATCACATCGGTGTTAGTCTGGCAGCCATCTGTCAACAGAGTGGCCCCAGTTGTCCCCAAATGTGCTAAAGCTCGTTGGCCTCAGGCAGGGCCAGGCCAGTTCCCTCACTTGTCTGCATGCCAATTTCCAGATTTTTATCTAAAGCAAAGCTGCTGTTGATAGTCCCATTGAGTAGATTTTTGTACTTCTAAAAATAGAAATTACACACAATGATGACTTTTTAAAAGTAGTCAAGTCTTTGGCCAACAGAGGCTAGGAGATGTAGCGTGGGGTGAATAGTGGTCACAAGTGTCTTCAGCAGCCAACTCTGCAACTCCAAGGAGCCACAGGGTGGTGGGGAGGTGACCCTTGACTGTGTGTGGGTGGATTGATCGGACCCTTAGCCTTACAGACGAGATCCTGCAATCCGTAGAGCCATGCAAATCCCGTCTTCCTGCTCTTCCTCAGGTGTTCCCACCTGCATTCCCCTGCCCTGTCCTATGTGTATCGTGAGGAGGTGTCACGAATCCTCTAGAACTTACTGTAATGTCTCCTGTGTCATGTTCTCATCTACTGAAGGGGAATGTCCGCATCTGAAGGGAAATTCAACACGAAACAGCCACTTTCCGTAGCACTCGACGCCCACGTGTGACACATACATTAATGAATGTTTTCCTATGTTTTCAGGTCTACAACGTGTAGTACATGTAAATAGGGGAAAAAATTGATAAATGTGGTAAATTAAGTTATAGCGTATCATTTGATTTTTTATTTTGCTGTCTCTTGGTATTTAATTTTCCTAATGCTCCACAGCTAGTTCATTCTTAGGTAGTAGAGAACTTCACATATAACCCGCCTCTGCAGGCGTGTACATGTGCACCAGGACACATTGGCAAAGGCGGCCACGCCCGGGAAAGCACACGGCTGCTCCAAGGACCGTCACTGGACCCTCCGGTTAACCCTCTTCTCTTTCATTTTGATTTACTGTGATGAATTAATAAAGTGGACACACGGCACTCAGGTGCTACACATTTCTTTCATTTTCATTCTAGTTTGTAGAAAAATAAAGCTTGTCCCAGCATCTAATAATTTAAAAAGGTGGTTTGCATTTTTATTGGGCAAAGTTGTTCCTAGATAGATAGATAGATAGATAGATAGATCGATCTTTTTTGGGGGGGGGGAGGTTTTTGCTATAGGGTGCGTGTGCTTGCCAGACAGACAGAGAGAAACAGAGAGACAGAAAGCAAGAAATCACCCCCCAGGGGGGATGGCCACGCCGCAATCCCTTCTCCTCCATTCTCCTCTCAGGATCTTGGGCACGCACGCACATGTACCCGGCATGAGTTTTAAGCCACCGGGTCCAGGACGCGAACTGCGGTCGACTACGTGGGAGTCCAGCGACATAGCCATTATGCTAACTGCTGGTCCCTCAATATATATTTTTTAATAAAACCTAAAATCATATTCAAAATGTAGCCAGTACCAATCCAGGGAAGTGCACTCATGTAAATCTGACCTCTCGGTGCATGGCACAGAAGGCTGAGCGAGTCTGAGTTCAGGCATCAGGGTTCTCATCTGCTTGTATCCATCTTTCTCTTCATGATGGACCGGCTGGGTCCATGTCACCTGCTGCTGGGGTTTCTGTCCAGCCCTCGGTGAGCTGTCCCACTAGCTCATGTCCCCAGGGCAGCCACTGTACTTGCCAGCTTCCCAGTGGTCTGGAGTGCCTGAGATTGCCTAAGATTTGATGAGTACATTTTTTTAAAAGTGTTTTCATTTACTTCTTCCATAAATGACAGAGACAGAAAGAGCGAGGGACAGTGAGAGAGACAGCGTCCCCAGCAAGGTCTCAGTGCTGCCATCCATCCCACCGTGAGCCAGCCCTGCCTCTCTGGAGGCAGACTTCGGGGTTTGTCTTGATGGTGTGACTGAAGCCAGGATGATGGCCCTGCCTCTGGATTTCAGCCGTCACGTTGGCCGGGTCAGGTGGTCGCTGCCTGCGTCCTGGGCTACTCCCACGCTTTGAGCAGTGGTGAACTCTCAGGACATCGGACAGAACTTTGCAAAAGTCATTCATTTGTTCATTTAGCATGTAATCGTTGAGGCTCTATCACTTACTAAACATTTCACATTTCAGTGATCTCGAAACAGGGCTGGTGCCTTCTTGGGTCAAGTTGGGCTTGTCATTGGTGCCTTTTTTTTTTAACCTTTTGACTGATGGTAAGACTTGCTTAGAGGTATGCCTTGCTTTTAATATTGGTTCTGGAAGCAGAGTTCAGGGCTCTGTGGCTGGAAGCAGAGGTCCAGCCTGGCACATCAGCTTCCTGCAGGCAGGTTCAGGAGAGGCAGGCTGCCGCTGCTACCCCCTGACCCTGCCCACCAGGTCTGGGGTGGAACCTGAGCCTCTGCATGTCTTTCTTTCCTTTTTTTGCTACAGGCGTATGCACTTTCTTGAGAGAGACAAGGGTGGGGAGTTGAGAAAGCATCCCTGTGGAGGATTGGCCACACCACGGTCTCTTCTCCAGTCTCCTCGCGGGATCTTGGGCACACATGCACATGCACTGGGCGTGTGCATCTGTATTTCTTAGAGCTGCCGAGAGAATTCTCACCTGGGGGTAGGTTTGGTCAGAGGAGCTGGGGCCAGCCCCGTTGGCGGTGCAGTGGGCAGCACTTGCCCGAAGGTCTGCTCAGTGCTGGACGGCTGTTCTTGGCCTGTGTTCCTGCCCGTCATCAGATTCGCTGGTAGGTGGCTCTCCAGGATTCCCTGGAGATCCCCTCCCAGGAAGCCCAGGGATGCTTTTCAGATCTGGAAACGGTCACTTGAAACTCAAAGGGTATTGTTACAAAAGTCTCTTAAAGCAATTTACCTACTTCTTTATAGAAAAAGAGGGGTGGATGGGGGTCATCCCCGGATATCATGCTTCTGGTAAGCAAGCAGATCACCTTCAGAAAATCCTTCTCAGGGGGATGGACAGTGGCACAGTGGTAGAACACGCTGCTCTGCAAGGCAGTGTGGCATAGTGAGGTTTTCGGTTCAAGTCTGGAGACCTC